CTAAAGGTTCCAGGTTGAATAACAGACAGAAGTAGCTGCTCCTCAGCACCTCTGCGGGGAACAGACGGAGACATCGAAGCCCACAAACCCACGCGGTTTACAAGTCAGACGACGTCTGGTCACGCTCATGCTAGGAAAGATATCGTTTGATGAGAAACAAATGCTTGAATAAGAGTGGTAACTTAGTAGAACTAGAAAACAAATGTTACTTGCGACAATCCACTACTGGGCACAAATAGCGTCAACGCATATATAAACTGACCATTAGGCAAAGGATATATAAATTGGTCAGTATACGTTTCACTGACAGGCAACATCAAGTAATCAACACCTTAACGACAGTTAATTAGGGACAAAAAGTTTTTATGAGGTCACTAGGAGCAAGGTATAAAGACAGGCCACAGAACTTTCTCATTAAGTGACGAACAAATACACGACCAAATGCATAATGTCAAAAAAACACACAGGAATGTTGGGCTTTGTGTTTAGTTGGCTTAAACACATATTGACAAAAAACCTAGTTCCCAAAGCTAAAAATTTATGTCAAAGAGCTTTGTTTCTTCTCTTAAATTATGTATAAAAAAGTGTGCATTCTCAGCGCAATCTCATAAACAGGTCAATAAAAGATTTAGGGAAAAACGAACCCCCGAATGTACCATTCCAGGAGGTACAAATGCTAACTTAGACCTATTGTTGCTGTGACTCTAACAGGTAGGCTCAAATTTAAACGAAAATAGTCCCACCCAATCTTTTACAAGGAAACTATACGGTTAAATTATACGGCCATTTGGAAGTGTTTACTTGCCAAACAGTTATAAATTACACCTTAGCTTTCTAGGACAAAACCAATTTTACAATTGGTAATGAGCAGTTTCTTGCAAAGAAACGTGCTGTAAAAATGACATTTTTCGACTTTTCAGACTTATATAAATTAATTCATGCTTTTGTTATTGAGGGTAGGCAACCCTACTACCTGCCCCAAGTTAGCGAAAATTGACTGTGCACTTTGCGGCGTGCACGTAGCTAGTAAGCAGACAAAAGTACAAATTGGCATGATATTCTGACTAAAGAGAAAAGTATAAAACTCGATAATAACACGTTTCAACGGGCTTTCGCACGGCATCGTCTTAATGATGTTGTGCCTAAAAACGTATTTAAATTAAAATTTTCTTTTAGAAGCAGAAAGGGTCTAAGAGCCTTGTTAGCTTGTTTTGTACAGTGAAGTGTACGCGTTGCTTAATACTTTCTACCCAAACTGTCGAACCCAAGGTTGCATCTAGCAGCCGCGCGACTTAAACGAGAATAGTTGACGGAAAACACTGAATGTCATGGTAGATCGTGTTTCCATTATGCACCAACGTACTAATGAGGGCCACTTTGCTTACCTTTTTGTATATAGAAATTTACGTTGCATTGCTTGGACAAAGATCTTTTACATCAGAGAATGCCTTGTACTTTTTAATATTCCTAAATACCGTGCATAGAGTGTGTGGTGTTTAACTTTGTGTATTTGTGCTAGTTTGCAGTAATTTTTTTAAGCCTCATCGCTACCATTTTCGACGCTTTCTTCGCCTTGGACACCGTCAAGCTCGCTCTTCTGATACCGACACTACCTCACCGCCGCCACCCGAATTCGGATCTTCATCTCAGCAAGAGCCGCAACAGCAACAGCAGTTTGACCTATACCCACACTATGTTTGTGCTACTCGTGACGTAGAGCAGTCAAATTTTCGAGTTAGATGCGGAGACGTCCTTCTTGTTCCAGAAAATACAACTGACCTATTTATTCCTGCGAAAAATCCGCTGACTTTTGAAATCGGCCGCGTGCCTCAAGACGCAGTAACTGATGCCATTGGCGAGTCTCTGATTTATGATGCGTGGCAATGCATTGACCGCGATGAAGCTGTCAATTTACTCAGTAGGTCAGAAATTGAAGCTGGCACGTTTATTCTTCGTCCTACGTCTGGTAAGTCGCTTCGAGGGTGTTTTGCGCCGTTTTTGACGGGTAAAATGTGTTTTGAGGATGATAGGACTTGTGGTCAACGTTCTAACTCTGTTTAAATTACTTGATCATAGTAGTGATTGCACGTTCAGTCTTTTGGTTTCTTCAGACATTCGTAAGTACGATATCTTTTTGCCCACTGGCAAAATTTTAAATGAAAGACAAAAAGGAATTAACGTGATTAGTTCATTTTTCATGATGAGTGAGATCTTTTTTGCTGCCTTGCACAACACAGTATGCATTAGGAGGCGAGCTGCGTGCCACAATTTGTTGAGGCTGGATGGTGGAATAGCGTATCACACGCCGCTGATCGTAAGTGGTTAAAAATAGCTGAGTATGGCTCGTTTGTTGGGTGGCGAAATTGTTGGAAGGTAAGGCTAATTTATCTTGTGCTAGAGTTGTGCACACGTGGTGAAGAAAACCTTTCCAATTGCTCTCGATGAACTTATCTGCTGAGCAAAAGCTATTATTAAATACATGTGATTGTAGCAGCGGAATTCGGCTTTTGCAATGGGAATGCTTGGCTGTATGTCAAGATGTGTTTTGCTTAATTTTGTACTTGCTCCTATTTAGGTGGTGCGAGTATTGCCTTAACTGTGCGGACCAATGCTCAGTCGAATGTGGCTCATTACAAGATTGCGTTAAATGCCAGTAGACAATACTGCTTAAATCCGTCCCACCCATTTGATCGACTGATCGATCTCATCTCATACTACATAGGTGAGTTGACTCGGAGCTCCTTCCCTGATATGCGTACTTTGTGTTTATAGTCATCCACTTTTGTGTGGAGAGAATGTACTGTATGCTAGAAGTCATGGTGGTTGTTGTAGACGATTGCATTTGATAACTGTTGTTTTGATTGTGGTTTACTAGGAGATGATTCTAGCGAAGTAAATGCCTCATCTGAACTCATTGCATGGTTTCGTTGTTGAGTGCGTGTATGTTAAAGCATTGAAAGCGGCTAACTTGTCTCAGTGTCAGGGAAATGTAGGAGGGGTAAAATCGAGAGGAGACTATTTTGCGCTTATTGTGATACGCGCATTGAGAAGTTTCTTTCCTCAATTCTAGCCAATCCAGGTTACCTACAGTGCACCAATCTTAAACCCTACTTTTCACTCCCAACCACAAATGACGCGGTGATCAAAGTGGGGGGATTGGCGGTTTTCACCACGAAAGTCATTGGGACCGGTGATTTTGCTAATGTCTACTGTGGCTCCTGGCATGCTGAAGAGGCTGCTGTAAAGTGCTTTAATTTACTGACACCCGTTGAGATGCTCTACAGGGAACTACAATTCTCGAAGTCTCTTGACCCCTCCATCTGCGTTCGAGTCTTTGACATCTTCTGCCATACAATGCCCATGATGGGGACATCGATTATAATGGCCATGGAACTGATGGATTGTGGTTCATTGAAGCACTTTCTGACAACGTCTGAGGCTAAGACAATGCCACTCAGTAACTTGATGCAGATAGTGCGGAAGGTAATTACTTTGTATTTATTACACGTATACTTGTGCCTACTTTTGGATTTTGAGCATCCTAGTGGTCATCGTGGAGGAGCTTTCGTGTGAAAGGCGAAACGTTTATTTCACACACCCAAGCAGTGATATTGTTTTTGCAGTGCTGCACACAGTATCGGATGGCAATTGACATACACGTCGTTAGGCGCTCCGGACGTCGTCAGTTGTGGTGACAGACAGCAATGCGATTGTGTGTGTGTGGAGGGAGGGGGGGAGAGTGTGGTATTGGTCACCTGAAATCCATTGGAACGGTAGATACACTTCAAAGGCAGTGGAACACCTAGACAACTTCGGCCGCCTCATTCACAGCCCACAATCTCGGCCGTCTTTCTTGTAAATATTCAGTGCTTAAGAGGATCTGATCCTAGGCGGCTGATCGACGCGACCTGTACTGATAACAAGTGAGGGAAACAAACAATCTCTTTCTGAGACTTACGGACGCACGCATTTGTGATCATTGTAAAATGCGAGAAGTTAGCACACCTTAGGTGGCACAGCAGACGTCAGTCATTGTCCAACACCAACAGGTTGTATGGTGTACTGAGCTACGGGAGCGTTTTGGCGTGGAAGTCGAGACTAGATACATCCGATTACTGCACTAGACACAAATCGTAGCTCTCGAGGCGAACCTCTGAAGTGAGTACTTGAAGATCGATGGAAATGGAAATGAAACTGACGAGGTTCTTCAAATAATAAAGACTTGTTCTTGTTCTTTAATTTAACTTAATGGTGCCGGTTTACCTTGAAAGTTCATGTTCCTCGCGAGGTCGCTTGCGTCAGTTGACAACAAAACTTGCTTTACAATCGTTTGGCTAAAGACCAAGCATTTGCGCACTGATGAACCGATGTACTTTGCACATCCAATGCACTATTGGCTTGATATGCGTCTAGAAACACTAGGTGTCAATCAGTGTTGAGTCCATGGCATAGGGCCGAATGTTCTGTGCTGGCGGCATCAAGTAATTAGGTGCGGGATTGCTAATGCACATCCGGTTTCCTCTGCTCCACGCAGATTGCAGACGGGATGGCCTATCTTGAGAAAAGGGGGATAGCGCATACAAATTTGAAGGATACCAACGTCCTCCTCCACAGTGATGGCAGTATCAAACTCGCCGATGTGGGCACTCGGGGTGTCCTCTCTCTAGCCAATGAGATTTCTCCAGGTATGACATTTCCTTC